GCAATTTAACTACACACTTAAATAAATCAATTAGTCACTCAAATGTGTTTTGTAATCATCAAAATCATAGGTACAACAATCTCCCCCTTTTTGATGATGACAAAACACTTTGATCATGAAAGCATATATACTTCAATATTAACTTCAAAATTTCAGCACCAAGAAATTGACATCAAGACATTAAGACTTTCCAGAAAATTATAAGAATTCAGCATACTTTCTCCCCCTTTTTGTCATTCATCAAAAAGTATATAAACATAGGCAATAAACTCCCCCTTAATTCATGCTATCAACCTTTAAAGCATCAAGAATATGTAATGAATATAATCATCATCAATATAGCACCATAGACAACCAAAGTCATGAATACAATCATCAACCAATAAACTCCCTTTCAATAAGAGAATATAATCATCAAAATCATAGACAATCAATACCAAAAGTCATGCCAATATCACGCATATCTCCTTGAGGAAATTGACTGAATTTTATACAATTGCAAGATAAAACAGCTATATTCTTAATAATTTCATACTTTGCAGAAGCTTGGGTATCCAAAAAGAGATTTGATTGGGAGATGTTACCTTCTTCTTGAGCTTGACCACCGGTGCTAGAACTACCCACTTGTTTCCTTTTACTTCCAGCCCTTCTTGAAGCCATGAGAGAGAAAACACGGCAGCCACACCAAAAATAGAGTAGATCCTACACAAATTGGAGTGAAAAGCTTGAGGTTTTGTGTTGGGTAGGCAAGGATTTGATGGTATTTGAGTGTTTAAGGGATGGGGTTTGGAGATTTGGAGGGATTTCGGTGTTTGGGAGAGTGAATGGCGAGTTTTGGGAGAAGAGAGTCGCGGGTTTGGGTGAGGAAATAAAACAAATTTGGGCTGGTTTGTTCGAGGAGAGAGAAACCCGAGGCTTTAAAAAACTGTAGAAGAGTCGGCTGTAGTCCTGGAGCTGGCTTAATTCTAGAGAAAGAAGTGTCACGCCCCAAAACCCAATTTCGAGACGCGACAAACGCCGTGCACTCGTGAGACGGGTTCCACAAATGCACAATGCTCAGAACTTATCATATCACACTCTGATACCATCAAAATCTGAAGATCAAATTTTTAAAATCTCTTTGATATCATAAATCTCCAAATACACTCTAGCTTACAAGATCAGGATCTCTAGAATCTAAATCAATCTCGAAATAGCTAGCCTTCTAACTCGTCACTTCCCGTGGTTTCCCTGTCCTCGGTTTCACTTCCTGAAATGGTGGACAAGGAAAAACTATGAGATAAACTCAGTAAGTAAATATGGAGTGCCCATTATTAAACTTATAGCATGCCAACATGTGCAATCACGCAAATCGGATACAGTACAGGAACGAAATAGACGTTTCCTCTATAGGTCACGGCCAGTGTATAATCCCCACTAGCAGGGCCACGATTTGCTGGTGTATAACCCCCACTAGCTGGGTTGAATGAACCGGCTCTATCACTACATGTTGACATGTGCTAGCGTTTATAACCTCCCCCACTAGTAGGGTCACGAATAACATGACCACATCGGAGACAAAACAGGCAGAAGTTAACAGGAAAATCACAATTCACAATCACTTTCAAGTAGGCATGCTCAATTTAGTGAAAAGTATAAAACATTTCACTTCAAATCAGTCATACTTGTATAAAACGGGTTTAGTCCCGCCATCACTTTAAAAACAAATCAAAACATGCTGTTAAAATCAAAGGGCATTACCATAATTTACTTACCGCACTTGCATAAAACTGAGCACTCAATTCATGCACTAACTGACAGAATGATCGGGAACCTAATCAAAACACCTCAGAATTAATACAAGACTATCACAAATTCAAGCTGAAATCATCATTAGGATCATTCCTAATCACAATGCTATTTCTATCACTTTCCACATGATCAAATATCTCCAAATTCGTTCTCATATCACAAACTAATCATTTAAATTCCCGTTAAATGTTGGCCCTCGGGGTGCGAACAGTTTCGGTGAACAGTACCGTGAACAGTACCCCGACGTGAACAGTAACTCCACTCCCACAAATTGGCCAAAACACTAGCTAATCTCACGGGATTTTCTCCAAAATCACATAGCAGTCCATTAACACTCAATCATATAAATTCCACTTGAATCAAGCTAAATCATGGTCTAATTACTATCAATTTCATCCCCATTTTCTAGCCAAATTCAGACATCACAAAGCAGCCACTAATCAACCAATTTTCGAGAATTAGAGAAGCCAATCTACCATAAATTTTCCAGTTGCAGAACTGGACTTGGCAAGGGGAGAAGCCGGCGGCAAGTGCAGGCGAGAAACTCACGGATCTACCCAAAATTAAAGGAAATAAGAGCAATCAAAGTTAACCCAAGCCAATTCAAGCAAGAACAAAGGAAATTAGGGGCTGTTCTTACTGAAAAATGCCCAGAAATCACCCACCCACATAGCAGCCGGCGGTGAAGACAAGCAGAGCAAGGTAGATCTGGAATTTCCAGCAAGGGGGAAAGATTTCTGGGTTCCAAATTAGGTTCTTGGACAAGAAAGAAGGAGAAATTCCAAGCTTTCTCACCAATTTTTCAAAGCTGGTGTTGGCGGCTTGGAGGGGGGATTTCGAGAGCTGCAAGGGAGAAAAGAAGAGCAGAAACACGCAAGGCTGGGAAGGACAGAAAGAAGAAAAAGAAAAAGAAAAGAAGCTCATCCTTATCCAAATTCCTTCCACTTTTAAGTCCCTCAAGTTTGGACATTTCGGCTCTTAAGCCCAAAACAATATTTTTCTCACACAAAAACCGTTACTTAAATGCTAAAATAGCACAAAATTTTGGGGTATTACAAGAAGACTCTCGAGTTTTTGGGTTGAGCCGGAGTCGGCTCTACTGGCCTTTATTGGAACAAGTAAAAGGTTTGAGGCTGTTTAGAAGACAATGCATCTTAATTTGATATATCTTCATTTAACTAATTTTAAATTGGATATCAACTACTAAATAATGCAACTTTAGTCATATATCAATGTATGCATCATCAAATATCATGAATATAATCAAGGTACACATATCAAAGTAATCAATATGCACAAATTCTAATAAGCAAATTCATTAATTTCAAGAATCATATCAAGCACTAGGATCTAACATACCAAGCTCATTTCTAATGAAGAAAAACCTATCACGATCAAGCGGCTTTGTAAAAATATCAACTAATTGATTTTTAGTGTCAACATAATAAATCAACATTACCATTAGCAACATGATCCCTAATAAAATGGTGCCTAATTTCTATGTGCTTGGTGCGAGAATGTTGGATGGGAATTTTAGTGAGATTGATAGCACTAGTATTGTCACATTTAATAGGAATATGATCCATAGTAATGCCAAAATCCAAAATTTGTTGTTTCATCCACAACACTTTAGCGCAACAACTTGCGACGGCTATGTATTCGGCCTCGGTTGTAGATAGAGCAACACTATTTTGCTTTTTGGAAAACCATGATATGAGCATATTACCAAAAAATTGACAAGTTCCACTAGTACTTTTTCTATCAATCCTACAACCCACATAGTCTGCATCCAAATATGAATGTAAGTCTAAGGAAGAACCCTTAGGATACCATAAACCAAGGTTGGGAGTATCCTTTAGGTATCTAAAGACTCTTTTAACCGCAATTAAGTGTGACTCTTTAGGACAACCTTGAAATCTAGCACACAAACAAACACTAAACATTATATCCGGTCTACTTGTGGTTAAATAAAGCAAGGAACCAATCATGCTTCTATAAAGTTTGGGATCAATAGGCTTACCTCCTTCATCCTTGTCTAGATTAATTAAAGTGCTCATAGGAGTAGCTATTGGCTTACAAGTCTCCATGCCAAAGTTCTTAAGCATTTCCTTTGTATACTTGCTTTGGTTGATGAAGATGCCTTCTTTGGATTGTTTGATTTGAAGTCCCAAGAAGAAGTTGAGCTCACCCATCATGCTTATTTCAAATTCACCTTGCATAGCTTTGGAAAACTCTTGACAAAGAAAATCATTAGTAGCACCAAACACAATATCATCAACATAGATTTGGACCATTAGTATATCTTGGCCTTTGTTTTGCACAAACAAGGTGGTATCAACTCTTCCTCTAGAAATACCATTTGCAAGCAAAAAACTACTTAATCTTTCATACCAAGCTCTAGGAGCTTGTTTTAAGCCATAGAAAGCCTTTGAAAGTTTATAAACATGGTTTGGATAAGATAGATCTTCAAAACCAGGAGGTTGCTCAACATAAACCTCTTCTTGAATATAACCATTTAGAAAAGCACTTTTAACATCCAGTTGATAAAGTGTAAAACCTTTAAAACATGCAAAAGCCAATAACATTCTAATTGCTTCAAGTCTAGCTACCGGGGCAAAAGTCTCATCAAAATCAATTGCTTCCTCTTGACAATAGCCTTTAGCAACTAGTCTTGCCTTGTTTCTAACCACAATTCCATTCTCATCTAACTTATTTCTAAAAACTCATTTAGTTCCTATGATGGGATGGTCTTTAGGTCTAGAAACAAGATTCCAAACCTTATTTCTTTCAAATTGAGCTAATTCTTCTTGCATAGCCATCACCCAATTAGGATCATTTAAACTATCATCAAGATTATTTGGTTCAATTTGAGATATAAAGGCAATGAAAGCACAAGTATTATGAGCATGAGATCTAGTAGTTACCCCTTTTGATGGATCCCCAAGAATTTCATTACCTTTGACATAGGATCTTTCTCTTGGGAAAGTTGGTTCTCTTAGCTCATGTGTTTGTTGCACTTCTTCATGTTTGTCCTCCTCATTCTTCTCATCTTGAGCTTCCTTGGTGTTGTCCTCCTTGAGATTTATATCTTTTATTTGTTCTCCAATGGCATCCACATCATCATCATTACAAGACTTTATAGAGCAAATAGGGTTAGTCTTATCAAATACCACATGAATAGATTCCTCAACAACTTTAGTACGTTTATTATACACACGATAAGCTTTACTAGAAGTAGAGTATTCAACAAAGATGCCTTCATCACTTTTAGAATCAAATTTTCCAAGAGAGTCCTTTCCATTGTTCAAGACAAAGCATTTACAACCAAAAGCTCTAAAGTAGGAAATCTTAGGTTTTCTTCCTTTGTAAATTTCATAGGGGGTTTTATTGAGAATAGGCCTCACCATAACTCTATTCAACAAATAACAAGAGGTTGCAACGGCTTCAGCCCAAAAGGATTTTGGCAAATCATTATCACAAATCATAGTCCTTGCCATTTCCTCAATAGTACGATTTTTCCGTTCAACCACCCCATTTTGTTGAGGAGTTCTAAGGGTTGAAAAATTATGATCAATACCATGTTCAATGCAAAAATCTTCAAAGTCATTATTTTGAAATTCTCCCCCATGATCACTTCTAATAGAAATAATAGTTAAACATTTCTCATTTTTGAAGCTTTTTATAAAGACATTTGAAAGCATTAAGTGCAACAAAAGTAACCCATGTAAATCTAGAATAGTCATCAACTACAACAAGCACATATGATTTTCCTCCAATGCTTAGAGTGCGCATAGGTCCAAACAAATCCATATGAAGTAACTCAAGAGGTCTATTTGTAGAGATGCACTTCTTAGTCTTAAAGGAAACTCTAGTTTGGTTACCCTTCATGCATGCATCACACACACTATCAATATTTACATTCACCTTAGGCAAGCCATCAACAAGATCATGCTTTAATAACTTAGAGATAACACTCATGCTAGCATGTCGTAATCTTCTATGCCACAACCAAGTATCATCATGAGATATAGAAGTAGACAAATATTAGCATCAATGTCAAGCAAATCGATCACAGACACATTTTTAAGTCTCTTGCCAACAACAACACTTGATCATTTCTAGAATCAATAATCTTGCAATGAGACTTGAAAAATACAACATTAAGCATGCGATCACATAATTGACTAATACTAAGCAAGTGATGCTTCAATTCATCCACATACCAAACATCATCAAAAGAAATAGATTTGTTACCAATTTTACCAATTCCTTTCACAATTCCTTTCCCATTGTCACCAAAGGTCACAGTTCCACCATCCAAGGGCATGAGTGATGAGAATTGTGAAGGATCACCCGTCATGTGCCTCGAGCATCCACTATCTAGATACCATTGGTTCTTCATTTTGCTCACAAGGCACACCTACACAACAAAAATCAATTTTTGATCTTAGGTATCCAAATTTGTTTGGGTCCTTGGGGGTTAGTTCTTATGGTTCCTTTTGGAACCCAAATTTGTTTAACTTTACCTTGAGCTATTAATCTTTTTAAATGGCAAGCATAAGAAAAGTGTCTATTTGCACCACAACAATAGCAAGTGACTTTAGGATGAGAGGATTGACTTGCTCTTACAAAGGAAGTCTTAAAAGTCTTTTGCTTTTTAGAATAATCAAATCCAATGCCCTCTTTGTCATAAACACTTCTTTGAGATTTTAAGATAGAATCAAAATTTTCTTTACTCAAAGTAAATTTGGAAATCACATTCTCAAGATCATAAGTTTTTCTCTTTAAATCCTCATTTTTCTTCTTTAAATCCTCATTTTCCTTCCTTACATCCTCATTTTCCTTTTCCGAAGCATCATTAACTTCCTCATTCTTTAAAGAAGCAATCTCACCATTTAAAGAAGCATTTTCTTTAACTAAAACTTCATTTTGTTTTGAAAGAGATTCAATCTCATTTTTAAGTAATGAAATAGTTTTAGTAAGAGTAAGATTCTCATTCCCTAGTCTCTTAATATCATTCATATAGCAATCAAGAACTTTGCATAAATTATCATAAGAATACTCAAAGGAACTTTCATTAATTGAACTAGAAAAGTTAGAGTTTAGCTCCTCATCATTGTTGCTATCCTCTTGAGTCATGAAGCAAAAACTTACAACACCTTTCTCCAAGGAGCTTTCACTTTCCGTTGAGCTAGTCTCATCATCTCTCCAAGTGGCGGCAAATGCTTACTTCTTCATGCTCTTCTTGTCTTTTTTCTCACCTTTCTTCAATTTGGGGCATTCATTTCTATAGTGCCCCATCTTGTTGCACTCATAGCATTTCACACTCTTTTTGGTAGATTATCTTTCATCCCTTCTTGCAAGCTTGCTCTTGATGTTCTTCTTCATAAATCTCCTCACTTCTTTAGAGAGTAAAGAGGAAAAGTTTTCACCATCACTAGCATCATCTTCACTCTTTTCCTTTTGGTTGCTAACCTTGAATGCAACATCCTTCTTCTTCTTCTCAACTATTTCAACTCCACCATCACCTTGAACTTCTATCTCATATGTCATCAATTTACCAATGAGATCTTCAAGCTTGAGAGTGTTGAGATCCTTAGATTCTTCAATTGCTGTCTTCTTGGCTTCCCAACTCTTAAGGCAAGTTTCTAAGAACCTTTCTCACCACTTCTTGAGGAGGATAGACTTTACCAAGAGCCTTGAGATTGGTGACTATATCATTCAATCTTGTATACATATCTTGAATGCTTTCCTCCGGTTTCATCTTGAAAAGCTCATACATGCAAATGAGTCTATTGATTTTTGACTCCTTTACTTGGCTTGTTCCTTCATGTGTGACTTCTAGCATGTCCCACATCTCCTTAGCCGTATCATGCCCGAAGACTCTATGATATTCCGTTGGATTGAGAGCACATTGAAGCATACTAATTGCTTTGTTGTTGATCTTGATCTTCTCCAAGTCTTCATCATTCCAATCAATTTCTTCCTTTGGCACCTCTCTTTCTCCAACAATTTTCATAGCTACATATGGACCTTTCATAGTCACAACCCATGCCTTGGGCACATTTGCAAGCATGAAGACCTTCATCCTATTCTTCCAATAATTATAATTAGTACCATCAAAGAAAGGAGGCTTAGTGGTAGACAAACCTTCAAGTGGTTGAGAAGATAGAAATTGAGCAATTCCCGATCAACTCCTAGGTGGTTAAACCTTCAAATTGGAGCCCTTGCTCTGATACCAATTGTTGACTCAATGTACTCCAAGAGGGGGGTGAATTGGAGTTCCAAAAATTCCGCCCTTTTTCAACCACAAAACCAAAGTTAAAGAGAGTAGAGAAGAATAGCTTGCACAATGAATTTATAGAGGTTCGGTCCAACCACTTGGAACCTAGTCCTCTACCTTGGCTTCACTCACCAAGGATTTCCTCCACACTCTT